TAATGAAATTTAACTGATTTATTTCTTTTTAAAATTCTTAGTCTTTCCTTTTTCAACACATTAGACTTAATAGATATTCAAGTAATAAATCACGCTAACTTCCTTCTTTACTGGTCTGACACATTACAGCACACTGGCATTCACCTCATGTGCCATGAGCTTATTACAGCACATCCAGGGGAATTAAGCAGCTAAACTCTATGTATTAATTACCAAAATAGTTATGCTAATGCAATCCTGGAAAAACATTTGGATCCACAGTGATCTTAAAAAGCACTTGGGGAAGGAGTTGCAGTGCAGGTGGCTGTGCTGGTTTGACATCTCTCAAAGTTCGGGAAGGACGGGCCCAAACAACAGAGAACAATTAACCTTGTCAGGCGGAGGAGGGTGAGGCCTCAGACGGGCCCGTGCTGTCATGTAGGAGGTCAAGGCTACAAAAGCTGCACAGCGCAATGGCTGCACAGCGCAGGATGAAACAGGCTTTCTACTGACAGGTTGTTTTCAGAAGCCTGAAAACATTGACTTGAAATATTTATGAGAAAGTAACCCGGCGCATATCAACAAGGTCAGCGGCGAGGAGTCGATACAGCATCAATGGAGCACCAGCAGTGGGGGGAAAGGGGGGAAAGCATGGAGCAGGTCATGGGGGTTTTCTGAACGCAATTAGATTAGCATACTGGTGGATCTAAGAATGGCTGCGGCTGAATTCCAGTGGTGACAACATGTTATTCTCTCCTCAGCTGCTGGTTTTCCACAACAGTAGCTCCCCACTGAGTTTATACTACTTAAACTAACATTTGTGCTACACCACTGTTATTACCACTGCAACATATTTCAGTTTACCCTCTTACACAGTGTGTGTGCATGTTAACACTATAAGCACAAGCAAATGTAATCGTGCATTTTATAATGTGTTTTTGCAGGGGAACATAAAAAAAGAAAAGAAATCAACCCTTCACAACAGCTGAGGCAAACAGAGCCAGCTCCGAGGAACGCCGCAGCCAGTTTGCAGGCCGAGGGCTTATGTTGTTAAAGACTAATAAAGCATGAGGAGCCCGCGGAGAGCAGAAAGGCTCGGTGTTCAAAGGGAGATCAGAGCATACATCTGCCTTTGTCTGAGAGGAAGAATGCCAGGAATGTGGGCTATTTCAGGAAACCTCTATGCATCCAACTCCACTTCGGCAAATCATCGCGATCCCAACAGCACAAGATGGCTGATGAGGAATCAGTGATTCCTGAACCTGCTCATGAGTAATGGTGGCATGTCAAGTCTTGAACTTCCATCTACGTCAGATCGTTCACGCAGCGACGGGATGTTACAATCTGTGTCTAAAAGCAGGTGGAGGGAGATCAGCTGACGACAGTTTGGCTGCAGCCTGTAGCAGCCACTCAGTGAAAGTTAGCCCCACTTTGAATTAAATACAGTGTCTCATGCATACGAAGAAGCTTTTATTTGGGTGTGTGTTTATCTCACCTTCCTCAGAGCCTCCTCCTCTTCCTGACGTTTCTCATAATGTGCAAAGTCATCAAAGATTGAGGTGGTATGCTTGTAAGTGGCGATAATTTTAAGCACTTGTTTGGCCTTCTCCAGGGGCACTTCCTGAGTGTCCCTGGAGTTGGTCACTGGCTTGTTGTCATTGTTCTCCAGCCGGATGTGTCGCAGCTGGTTGTTGGGCACATCTTTGATGAAAACCCACTTCACCTCAAACTTGCCCTTCCACTTGTCCTGAGACCAGACACCCGCATAGGCATTGTAGTCCACCGGTGAGCGCATCTCGGCCACACCACAGAAGTGCCCACTGCCGTTGACACTGAACAACAGGTACAGGGGCCCCTTGTTGCCCAGTGAGCGGTAGGCACCGTCCAGGCGCTTGTTGCCATGTTCTGTACTGCACCAGATAGAGTACTTGATTGAGCGGTGGATGTCATCTTCTGAGTAGCTCTTGATTATGAAAACACGTCCGTTTTTCAAGTTCCAGTCAAAGTCTTTGGAGTTGTAGTTGTTGAGGGCACGGAGTTTCTCCAGCACAGGGTGCACTTCTCCCGAGCAAGGGGAGGCACTGAGGGGGACTCCCCCACCAAAACCGAAGCCCTCACCCCGGTTCCTGGGAGCCACCCAACGGTTAGGAGGCGGGCCGGGCTGCTGGGGTTGTTGCTGATGAAGGGGCTGTGGGGGGCCATGCTGAGAGGAAAGGTGCAGGTGCGGAGGGCCAGGGGGCAGAGGCTGGGGATGCTGGGGGGACTGGAGAGACTGGAGCTGGAAGGGCTGGTGTTGGTGTTGGTGTTGGTGTTGGTGTTGGTGCTGGGGCTGGTGTTGATGCTGAGGGGGCAGAGGGCTCTGCAGTAAGGGCTGGGGCTGAGCTAAGAGAGGTTGCTGCACTAGAGGCTGTGGGGGCATCATAGTCTGAGCTAATGGGGGCTTATTCAGAGAGCCCTTATCGTCCCATGTACCAATGTTCATATTGTGCTTTATGGGGGGTGGGGGAATGGTGGCAATTCCCCCCATCCCCATGTTGACTTTGGGTTTAACCTTGGGCTGTGGCTTGGCCGGCTTCTTGGCAATGGCTGCCCAGGAGGCTGGTTTAGGCACTGACGAGCTGACAGACGGAGGGAGGTTATTGGCTGCCATGCTGGTCATACCTGCTGTGCCTCCTAAGGGAGAGCCCACGGTTTTGGTGACAGCTGCCACCATGTCTGTACCCAGTTTTAACCCTGTCATACCCTGCTCAATGCTGTTCATTACTGGCACCTTACTGAGCTGGGTGTCGCTTCCAAAGCCAGCTTGTCCGTCCGTTATGGCTCGGCCCAGTGAGCTGGGGGCATACCCATAGCTGTTGCTGTACACTGAGCTCTGTGTGGACTGTCCCTGAGAGACACTGGTACCCCAGGTGGAAAAGTCTGCATTACCAGGGAAGAAGTTGAAGCCGTGCTGGCCGAGGAAGGGAGGCGTATTCCCCAGGGCGCCAGGCTGGCTGAAGACGCCGTCAGGGATGAAGTGCGGCTCACCATTGCTCATCTGTCCATAGGTAGTTAGGTAGGGCATGGGAGGGTCTCCTGCTGTGGACCAAGCAGCCTCTCCCAGAGAGTAAGGGAAACCAATGGATGGAGCATAGTAGCTGGGCATGTAGGGGTCAGACATTGGTGGATAGCTGTTATTCTGTATAGAAGAGAAGGATAAACAGTTAATGTTTGACACAGAATCATGGTGGAGCAATTAAGAAATCAACAGAATAGGAAGATCAATACAAGAGAAATTAAGCAAAGGACAACAGTGCTGTTTTCTGATAATATTAAACAATGAGTACTGACTATAGATGCAGATTATGGCTGAGCAGACAACACCATTTCTTCTTTTACACCAAAATTAGCAGGAAACCCAATAAAATTGACTTATTTCCCATTGCTACTTGTACTTTCTCTTCCTGTTTTTTTCTCGAGTACATCATGTTACATCAGGACAACACAGCAAATGAATTGTATTCATTACCATTGCAGGCAAAAGCCAGATGTTAGTGGGTGTTAGTGGGTCTTCTTGACCAGTGGAAAAGGGACTTATGGTATACCGTTACCTGATTTGTCTGGCCGCTTAAGTAAGGCTCAAAATCATCATCATTCACACTTTCCTTTTGATGCATTGATCCGTTTTGCACTACAGATGGAAAGAGAGGACATTAAGTCATCACACAGATATACAAGACTCCCAGATAGGCAAAACTCAAGAAGCTGATAATGTTATTGTCGAAGGTTATGTAGTGGACATAATTAAAAACACAGACAAGGACATTAGGGGTGGGAATCGCAGGGTAACTTACCGTCATTACACAATTAATGACCTAGGATAACGATAATATCACAAAACAGAAATTCTGCAAAAATCAATATACTGCAAGACAATTATATTCATCAAGATATCTGTCTAACAAGAAATACTGCTAAAGAGGCCGAGTGCAGGACACGTGTACTTATTCACTGCAACGTGGTGTCAGTTTAAAAGAGTTTGATACAAACTGAGATAAAACCATATACGGAAAAATGCAGAAAGTCTTATCTTAGTTGCTCTGTAGTGTCGTCAATGTCCACACACGCCATCGATATTTAGTGCCAGCAAATCGTATCGTGTATCGAACCTCGCGAGTCACGATACATCGTGAAATGAATATTTTGTCCCACCCCTCGTCAACATTTCTATCAGACTACAGTTTCAGCACGGTAGCATATTAAACCAACAATGTCAACTTCCCTTCCCTTGAAATCCCTGTTTAGAAACCCCCTTACCTTTATTTCCTTGTCCTTTGGGTCTCTGGAAAAATGGACAAAAGAAAACAGAGATGAGTGTGTTGACAGAGCACGACAGGAGACACACACACATACACGTCCTCCATGGATTACCACACAGTGTGGTAACCTCAGCCTGGAGCCATTCACAGGTTGCTTCATGTTATTGACCGGATGTCAGACGCGGTGACATCCAGTAAACGGTGCCGCATTGTGAGCCGGCTGAAGCTGGACTGGGTCGGCAGCACAGTTGGCCTACATGAGGCTAAAGAAGCTATCACGTATCCAAAGACTTTATTTAGCCCGGTTGATCAGGGAGCCGAACCGGATCAAAGTGTTTTCGACGGGGAGGGGGGGGGGGGCAAAGTTTCATTCGGCCCCCGCTGCTGCTTTAGCTAATCCACAGCACCGACACCACACGAACCTGATCGACGGTGGTCGCAGACATCCTCCAGGAACTGATCCGCTGTGTGTGACACTGACCGCGGCTTCCCCCCTGCCTCTCTGCGGGCTCGTCTCTCGGCTTCTCTCCGCGAACGTAGCGAGGCTGCGATCTTCCTCCCCCGACGACGATCCGCTGCTTCTGGGTTGCTTCTTCCGACGGCGACACGGTCGAAGAGCGTGTGTGCGATCCGGCCACGGACGGTGTTGAGCGGGTCAATCTGAAACCGACGAGCGTCTCTCTGGAATATCTCTCACCATATTCCACAATGGCGGATCGGCTCTTTACTCCCGCTTCCGTTCCGTCCTGCTGCTCCGTGACCTTCCGCTTGTGACGCTCTGAGTCATGTTACACACGCGCTTCACATGACTGCCACAGTCTCACCAGTTCTCCCGCTGCACATCACACAAACCTGCACTGATGCTGAACAACCATCACCATTAAAGGCTGCTCAGGGTCTGTCCACTACATAAAACACTAAATAAAGCAGAGAAGTAACCGAGCACATTTGGACTTACTTCCATTTTCAGGTACTTGTACTACACTTGAGTATTTCCCACTACATTTCATAAAGAGAATTAAGAAGTATTTATAATCAAAACATGAAGGAACCATAATATAATTATTAGATATAACTGCTCAATATCTAATAGATTACATGAAATGTGCTTCACTTCACTAGCTGGAATATTAAAATGACACATACACATTTTTAATACTATCAACAATAGTTTGGTGTTGGTACTATTATGTAAGTGAATGATGTCAATATTTATTCCACTACTGTCCCAAAATGTCACAATGAAGAATAGTAGCAACCACAACTAAAATTAAATTAGATTAATAAAAATAAAATAAGATAAATACTGACAATACAAAAATAGGTGTTATTTTAATACTTATATACTTATTTTGGTATTGGTACTGCTATGTGACTGAATGATGTCAATATTTATTCCTCACAAAATAACTCTTTTCAATATCTGGAGGAAAATACACATAAAATGAAATAGAATATTGGTTGTTCCCATCATATTGACAAATACTTTAAGGCCCCTTGTGCTCTTAATAAACACTCAACACCGAGAGGCTTACAGCTGCTATTGTAGATCAAGCTTTGGGTCTGAGCATGAGAAGTAAATGTGTATTTAAATATGTGTTTTACAAATTCATACTAATGTTAGCATATGATTACTGAGAGCAAACAACACTGTTACTGCACACAAGAACTATTTGCTATTATTTCTGACCTCATACTTTTACTCCACTGCATTTTCCTGAAACCTACTAATGACTTTGCAGATTAAAATGTTAACATTGTATTTTAAGGATCATATGAATATAACGTGTAATCTTTTTAAATTAATTTCTAAGGGCCTCACTGGTGATTGAGGACTTTTTCCTACTTCTCTCTCGCGCAACTCTCGCGATACTTGCTCAGAGGTCTCGGGACAGTATGGCAGCGGTGGCGCTGAGGTGCTGGCGCAGAGGACTTTCACAGATTTCAAGTCATGGAGGACTCGCAGCTTCGTCTTCGAAGCTCCTGGCAGGTTGGGGACACTCTCCGATGTTCACACACTTCATCCATTCAAGCTCGAGTTCGATACGAGGCCGTTTAAAGGCTCGGGAGGGGGTGTGGCTCTTTCACTGCGTCGTCTTTAAAATGTAGGGCATGGAAACGGCGCAGCGCCTGCGTGCGTTGGCTGATTTTGCGGCGATTGCGTTGATTTGAAACGCATTTTAACTCCTGTAGTCATTCATTAGTTTGACATAGTTGTGTGTTAACATGCTGCGATCGTAGATATGTTCGTCTGGTGGGAGTAACACCGCCTCCCCGGTGTCCATGTGCTGTTTCCCAATTAGCATCAAGGAGCCTTATCGAGCTAATTAGCATCAAGAGGCTTTATCTTATAAAACGTGATGTGATGTTCGTATCCAGCAGAGTTGTGTTTTCTGATTCAGCAGATGTACATAGACGTGATTTACATAACATGTTTTGCTAGTAATAGTACTTTGCCCCCCGTGTCTACCAGGAGACAGAAGACACAAGTCCACGGTGCAGTTCGCCTCCAGACCAGAGCTTCCAAAGCTGGCCTACAGGAGAGTGAAGGGGAAGAGCCCCGGTGTGGTCTTCCTCCCTGGGTATGGCTCCAGCATGAACGGACACAAAGCTGAGGCGCTGGAGGAGTTTTGTAGGTCACTGGGTCACTCGTACCTTAGGTAAGACTGTTACTAACACACAAGAGGGACACACACACACACACACACACACACACACACACACACACACAGAAATGCAGGTGCAACAATCTCAGGACATAACAACAGAGCTGCTTCTCACACACAAGCTCTGGGAGTTTATATTCTGGGGTTTCGTCTTTCAAAACCTGAGGAACACCAGCAATGTCAACAAAAAGTGGCTATGTAACCATGTCACCATTACTGCCTAGGTTTATCTTTATATGATTTTTATATTTGTTCATATCTCTAGTCTTGTATTTGAAGTTTTACTCACTGTTTTTAGATACACTTACGTCTGCTGTACCATTACTTTACAGGCTGTGTTCTTCTATCATGCACAACTTTGCATAGCTTCAGTTACTCATCTTTAAATCTGTATGTATATTTGGCTTCAACACTCTGCCTCGATTACGTGTGTCTTTCAATCACCTTATACTTATACAAATATCTATGTTGTCAATGTCTCCATTATCACATACTTCGTAACAGCTTTAACTTATTCTTGAATCATTTTGACCTTTTATTACTCTTACACTCTTGTGTTGGACTGTTTTGTGTGATACTTGATGCCTTAATTTCCCTCAGGATCAATTAAGTATCTATCTATCTATCTTAAAAAATACATACCTACCCAGCATGAAAATCTATTCATATATCACATTGAAGTCCACATGGATGATTCAGAGTGAGGCGCAGGATTGCGAAGAACAAAAATAAAATGCATGCACCCACCACACACCCACATTTACACTCCTACAGTCCTGATGAGAGAACAAGAGATCATGCACATGTAGCCCATATGTGAAGCTAGGTTTTATATAAGTGGTTGGTGGACTGAAACATTTAAAAGAAATCGCTGATGTCTCGATTCCATAAGTCTGAGTTAGATTAATAGCTTCCTGTCGTACAGGAACAGCACAAAGTGTTACCAATTAAAAAGAGAGAAATATGTTTTAAATAATACGATAATATCAGTGTGCAACTAGCAACAAATTGAATAAATACATATATATTTTATAATAAAAAATATCTTGACTTCTTTGAATTTCTCTGTTGGACAACTGTGTGATTAAAGCAATGAATAATTTCAAGATTTTAAAACACTTCGAACCATTCAGATATGTCTCATCCTTAGGTGGTTCAATATAAAAGATATGACATCATACCAAACACATTCAGTAAAGGCTCAGTCCCATGTTCAGTCCCGTTGTACTTTACTCAAAATGTCCTAAATAAGCAAAATAAAAAGAACCTTGTCCATGCCTTATTATTGTTTTAACCCCTGATACCTTGGCTCGTTTCATACATGTTTTCCCAGGTTTGACTACACGGGACACGGGGCCTCAGAGGGGGTGCTAGCAGAAGGAACTATTGGTACCTGGAAAAAAGATGTGCTTTTTGTGTTGGATGAGTTAGCAGAGGGGCCACAGGTAATTCTTTTTAAGAGACCATGCTCGATTGTAAGTACTGGTGTTAAGTAAACAATGAAGGTATGAAAAGAGAGTCTGACACTATCTGTTATTGCTTTATGTGCATTCCAAACAACATCTTTCAGTCTGAAATCCTGCTTTTGAGAATGAACACTTGTGAGCAACTAACTTTAAATGTTTGTTTTCATATTTTTTTATTTTGAACAGACTGGTGAGGCATGTAAAATATTGATTTCAGTTCAGAGTTACAATTACACAATTATTGTAAGTTGTTCAATATCCCTACATTCAATTACAGGATTATGATGTTTTTATCAAATATAGGCACATAGATCGTCCTCTCACAGTACAAGTTACTGTCTTTGTTACCTTCCATTAAAATCATGAAAAATATTAACATTCTGTATAACGTTAAACGTCTGACAGGAGGAACCAAAAGTGGTTGGTCAATGTGCTGCAGACTACTTCATTTTTATCCCTCTGGCATTTAACGCAAGAGGATGTATCTCATTCAGGCATCTCACCATCCATCCATCTTTTATCATTTCATTCCCAGAGAAGACCTCAAACCATTTCCAATTTTTAAATGAAACTTCACAAGTATGTATGATATTTAGAGTTTGCTGTCATCTCTTCACGACTTTTATTTGTAGGATTGTTATGCCTTGGTGGAGGTTTGTGCTCCACTAACATTCTAGTTTGAGTTGGAATTGTATATCCTCTCTCTGCTAGTATTTATTTAATGTGTGTAATTCTCAATACCCCCAGACGGTGGCACTGTGCGACCACATTTGTGACGTTATTAGTCTTCCACCACCACAATGATACTGCATGAAACTGGCATTGACTTTATGCAATGTTTTAAATCCTGATTTATTTGTTTTTTATTTATCATTTGATTCACAATGGGTTATTTCTTATCTGTAGATACTGGTGGGTTCCAGTATAGGTGGCTGGCTCATGCTGCTGGCAGCCATTGCAAGACCAGAGAAGACGGCCGCACTGGTGGGCATCTCCACCGCTGCAGATCATCTTGTCACATTGTTCAACTCTCTTTCTCTGGAGGTAGGAATATATCTCACATTTAGTTTTGTTCGAGAGTTTGCAAGCATTTCTTTTTTTAATGAGGTTTTCTAAGAGCGATGTGTCCTCTGATGAATCTGCAGGCACGTAAGGAGTTTGAGGAGAAAGGGGAGTGGACAGTGCCCACCAAACACTCGGAGGAGGGTTTTTACAAGTTTAACATGGACTTTCTGCGTGAGGCAGAAAATCACTGTGTGCTCCAGAGTCCCATCCCCGTCACCTGTCCGGTACGACTCATTCACGGGCTAAAAGACGAGGACGTCCCCTGGCACATCTCCATGCAGGTGGCAGAACGCGTCCTCAGTCCTGATGTGGATGTCATCCTTAGGCGACATGGCCAGCACCGCATGACCGAGAAGGACGACATCAAGCTCATGGTCTACACTATAGACGATCTCATAGACAAGCTGACCACTCTGGTCTGAGGAAGGGATGTGGTGGGGGGGGGGGTAGTGAGTGAGCTTGAGAGGTTGCTGAGTTAAGAAGAGAAAGACTGCATTTACCGGGAAGTCAACCCTCAAGGAAATTACCAAACAATGGCATGTTTCTCTGCCAAATATCACCTTTTAACCATCTGTTATTCTCCCCGTACTTCATCTAGTATTTTCACATGCCATCACGGCTGTAGTTTAAGGGAGCTCCCCTGCTAGCTGTTCCCTTATATCTTCAGGTTGCATTTGTTTGTGTTCCAAGTTGTTTGATCTACCGTCATGCTAGTCAGCCATTACTAGGTCTGCCATTGCTGTTGTCTATGCC